CAGCTCGCCCACTCGTCGAAGAGGTCGCCTTCATTTCCCTCATTCCCTCTGTGTGAGGAAAACACAATTCACTGCGCGTCTGCCCACTTCGTAATATGACGCTCATTTTGTGCACACTGTCATTGAATTTGAAAAAGGTTCAAGGCTGCCACTGAAGATACTGCTGCTTAGTGCCCTGCGTCTTAAAAGTGGCGCGCAACTAACTGACTGCAGCACAGTCCCGTCATTCGCTAAATTCGTGGCCTATTACTGGGAGTAGACCTTTTTCTAGGATCATATGAGGGTGGCAGAAGATGCGAAGAAAATGAACGGAGAAGCTCAATTTCGTTGTAAATTAATAAAACTGAGGAACTGCCTTTTGGACCTCATCAAGCACCACCTAGAGCAGTAACACCTCCTACGATCGCTTTTACGTATCCTTATTTTCCTTAAGTTCAACTCCTTTTATTCCGAGAATTCTTCCTTCGCATTCCTTTCTTTTGTTATTTACCAATTCATATGCTTACCATGTGCAGTTAATTTGTTATGAGCATTTTTAAGAGTGCACTATAACTGTTAAGTCAACAATAACTTTTCAAAGGCAGGAAAAGAAAGAGTGGCTCGAGCCAATGGTCGATTCTAGGAGCCTGTTACAGGAATGGATTGCTGTGCTCGCAGAAGGCCCAAACAAAACAAAATTATTATGGAACACTACTTATCCTAGTCACAGTTCTGGACCGATTCTTTTAAAACCCAAAAAATCCTTTGCAATTAATCCTGAAATTCTTGGCCCGCACTTCTCCCTCCTATAATTTATCCTCCTCTGTGAATCGGTGCTGCACAGTAACCAAAAAAAAGTCTTAAAAATTATCTGCCACTCTCTTCACAGTTTTCAGTTCAAATATGCATTTTTGGCTTAGCTACGTTTGATGTGTGGGTTCACTTCATGTTCATTTATATACAAGGCAGATAAGAGGCTGCACCGATGATTCCCTCCCCTACCCGCATGCTTTGCTCGATCTCGGCCTGTGTTTATAACTAGCGAGATGAAATACAGAGTGCATTCAAATGTCTTCTTGCACATGGTACTTAGAGTGATCTCCTATCTCCTGCTCCATTATTTATTGTCAGTAACATTAAGGCTCTAGCGGTTTTGATACAAGCATAGCAAAAATCAACATGTATTGTCACAGCGCAGAAAACAAAAAGACAGCAACGTAGTAGCTGCACAATGATTTAGTGATCCTGCTCAAGTATTCGGTAAATTCAAATTCATCCAATGTTTTATACGGATTTGGAAAAGTTAGACTTTGGAGTAGAAAATAACAAAGTCCGTTACGTCAAAAAATTAAGAACTTTTGTTGATCTCGCATTTAAAAATTCGTTTTGCAGTGAAGTGGTGCTGCGATAGCACACGTCAAGCTGCGCAGTCAACGAAGACAGCACAGAATCTCAAGAATGTAAAAATATTAGTTAAATTTTACGCGATAAGTTGAGAGCACTCTGTAGAATTCTAGAAACGAAATATACCATTCACCAAGAGATTCCTCCTTTTCAGTGTAAGCGGATTAACGGCATCTATCATGAGATCCTTACTGGGGAAGAGCAGCTTAGCTGGGAACGGTGCCTGTTTCTTTCGCGTGCAGATTGGGAACAACGATTCCATGGTGGCTCGATATGCCCCAACCAATAATCCGCGTTTCTTGCCTACTTTCGCTGCATATTCCTGCAAATGCTTCTTCCAGCTAATCACCCAGGGCATCATTTTGAAAATTTTCACTGTTTCTTGATTAAGAAAGCGCCTCCCAGAAGTGCAGGGGAGCCACGCCGCCAATGAACTCCGTGTATCCATGCGGTCATAGGTGGGCATTCTCAATACAGATCGCTGGCAAAATTCCTTCTCCGTTTAACTTAATTTTTTCTTTTATTCGTCGCTTGATATACCATTTTTCAATTCCGTGATCTACATTTTTTCCCAG